GCACTATCGATAGCACACTTCGGTGAGTATGAAGATTTGGCTGCTAAGGCTTTCCAATATCCAAAACTCAAGGTAGTTGTGCAAGATTTGCTACTACATGCGTCATCTCGGCCAAAGTACTCTCTTCGTAATGGCTGCCTCCTCTACAAGGGCAAGTTAGTACTTCCCAAGACATCTAAGTTTATTCCCCGGTTGCTCCATGAGTTACATGACACTCCAAGTGGCGGGCACTCTGGTTTATATCGAACTTACAAAAGAATCACTAGCATACTATTCTGGGAAGGCATTAAACGTGATGTTCAAAAGTTTGTCCTGGCTTGTGGCGTCTGTCAACAGAACAAGCATCAAGCCTTAAAACCTGCCGGCCTTTTGCAGCCACTTCCCATTCCTAATTTAGCATTCAATGATGTTTCTATGGATTTCATCAGGGGACTCCGTAAGGCTTGTGGGTATGACACTATACTGGTCGTTGTTGACAGGCTGACTAAATATAGTCATTTTCTTTTGTTATGCCACCCTTATGATGCTAAGCAGGTTGCGACTCTTTTTATCAAAGAGATAGTACGTCTTCATGGGTTTCCCAAATCAATCTTTTCTGATAGAAATCGGGTATTTATGAGTCATTTCTGGACTGGATTATTTCGGTTGGCAAGGACTATCCTTAAGTTTTGTTCGGCATATCACCCCCAAACAGATGGACAAACAAAGGTGGTTAACTGTTGCTTGGAAACTTATCTTCGATGTTTCACTTCCTCCAAACCTAAGCACTGGCCTAAATGGCTCTCTTGGGCTGAGTTCTGGTTTAATACCTCTTATCACAACGCTACCAAAATGACTCTGTTCAAGGCTCTTTATGGACGAGACCCCTCACTTCTCCTAAAATTCACTGAAATTAAATCTGATGTGGAGGATATTAACCAACAAATGGTCAAACGCAATGCTCTTTTGGAGGATCTTAAAGACAACCTACATGCAGCACAAACTCGCATGAAGACTATAGCCAATGCCCACCGTAGGGACGTAGTTTTCCACCATGGTGATTTTGTCTACCTTAAACTGCAACCATATAAATTCAAGTCTTTATCCAAGAAATTCAATGAGAAGCTGAGCCCCCGTTTCTATGGTCCCTTTGCAGTTGTGCAACAGATAGAGGAAGTTGCTTATAAATTAGTTCTACCTCCTACTGCCAAAATCCATCTCGTTTTCCATGTTTCCCAACTCAAGTAGAGTTTGCACTCAGCAGTCCCTATCCAAACTCTCCCGGCCTTCTTGACTAAGGACTTAGAGTTAATGGTCCATCTCGCTTCAATTCTGGACATTCGGACTCTTTTGGATGGCTCTAAGGAGGTCCTAATTTAGTGGGAGGATTTTCCTTCTTTTGAAGCCATGTGGGAGCCATACGATGTCATTGCTAATCAGTATCCTAGCTTTCACCTTGAGGACAAGGTGGCTCTTCTAGGGGGGGTATTGATAGAAAACTAAACATTCCAGGAGGTTCAGAAGAGAGCATCAAGGGAATTACACAGCCTAGCAACAAGGTGTACATGAGGAAGAATAAAGTGGATTAGAAGGCCACATGAGAGTTGCTTAAAAAGGAATATATATATACATGGCACCAGATTAGCAATTAGTTTGTTAGGCCTACAGACTAGTAGAATAAGTTTTTTAAGATAATTGGGTAAGAAGATTACGAAAGATGTACAGAGGATGGGATTATTCACAGAAGTTGTATTGGGAGGTTCCTAGCTCCTCGAAGTGCTAGAACTATCTTTTCTTTTCATTTACTTCATTTTATTCTTCTTCATTTTCCATTAAAGTTCTCAATACTGGAACATCAAGTACTGCAGATTGTTAATACAAATATCAGTGCAATATTCAGTATTTAATCTTGCTATTTGTGTGAGTTGAGTTGGTTGAGGGTGAATCATTCAAGTTCTTATCAATCTATGTTGCATAAGATTGAGTAAAATAATGAATTAAAAAATATTTATTATAGTAATTTAATTTAATGTTCAGTTAATAAAGAAATTACGAATTATAATTTGATATAAATATTACCAAAAACTTGATGCGTGATTTCATAAACATGCATATGTAGCAAGTGCATTAGTCACAAAAAGTAATAAAAAGATGAGAAGAGTATCGTTCCTACAAGGATTGTGTGTTAAGTACTAATTTTCCTAGTTTTGTAACTGGTTGAATAACACAAAGATTATTGGATTTACAGGAGATAAAAACAGAAATTAACACAAAATCAATATCATAAATTAAAATCTAACTAATTACGAAAATATCAATTCAAGATAAAGCGGTTAAGGTTTCGACTTCACTAGATTACTCTGATTTAATCTACGATTGATGTTGCCTTTACACTCACATGCCATGATTATAAATCAGATACCCTAATCTGTAAAATATACCTTCTCAGACTATATTCTCTTACTTATCCCTATTAAGCTTCCACACCCAACAAAATGAAGATTAACAGTTCTAAGTCTATTAAGCCCAATGGAGTCCTAAAGTGATTTCATAGATCTCTGAACATATCTCTAGCGTTCATCAATCTATAGTATTTACTCTAAGAGGCTAACACATAAATCACTTCTCTGTCTCGTCATGCTCAACCTATAATTGAACCAAAGACAACTCAACATTCAATTGCATTAAGAACAAGAATAAATACAAAATTCAAGCAATAGAACTTAAAAACATCTATTGCAGATTAAACCATTGTAATCAAAGTTAGGTCAAAACCCTAACCCAAAAGTGGTTAATTCCTATTCAAATTTAAGAAATTCGGAAAATAAACCGAAACCGTAAGTAAAGAGTTCAACATGTCCATGTAACCTATTTAATCCAAATACGTAATTTAAATTATAATGTTTTTTTAATTCCACGATAAAGAAAGTAAGACCAAGAATAATAATTTCAAATAAACATTACATATTCATGTATACCAATTTAATGCAAGTAAATAATATTAATTTGTATTATTTTTTAACTGGACAAATTAATGTTACCAAGTGTTTCGAATTTTTGCTTGAAAATTTGGTTATTATTTATTTAGGGTTAATATTATTATTTAATTAGGTTTTTTTTTCATTTTGCTTTCATCATTTATCCCATCGTCTGCTTAGTGCTGTTGTTTGCCGCCTCTTCGTAGTCATACGGCCGTAGTGTTTGTGTTGAAGCTTCTTAAACTGTCTTTTATAAAGGTGCAGCACAACATAAAACACGGAAATGTATAAAGGTGCAGAATTCCTCCTCTACAGAACATGCAATAAAAAAAAAAATATTAAGCATTAATGCACTTATGATAACACAAATAACACAATCTAAATGTCACAAAGCAAGAGAAAAGTTAGTAGTTTGACCAAACGAAGTATAAGAAGAGTCCCATAAATTCAAGCAGATGCCATGAAGTTATGAATACACAAAATAAACTAAATATTAAAACAATATATGATATTTTTTCTTTCCAATTATACCTCACCATGGTAATGATGGACATACTTGAGTCTTCAGCATCATCAGGCCGATCAACCACTGGTGGCAATTGAAGCTCTACATTAATAAAAGTAGAATATGAACAAATGAGATATGAGGAGATTCTTTTTCTTTTCATTTGGTCCAAAGATATTACTATCATCAGGAAGAGAGTCTCTCATCCATTCCTCGTCCAAAATACCTATAAGTATACCCTGGCTTATTTCTGCCATACTCTGCAAATTGATCGATTACTGACTCATTAGTTCAGAGTTTAAGACCACATACTATCTGACCATTAGCATCACTAATAGCAGCAAATTATCACAATCCATCACCGTTGCAATAAGGATAAACCTAAATGGAAATGGCAAGCCACATAATATCCTATTAGATGATATCGAGAGAAATACATGCAAACAGTGAAATTCATAAATTGTAGATTAATTTAATTAATGATGTAAAATCATTAAAAAGAAAAAAGAAAAAAAAGTTGCGCATGACAAAGAAGATCATGACACTAATTTAATCACAAACAACAAAAAGAGAAAGGGTTAAGGTTTCAGAAGTATCAACACTTGCCTTGGAATGCCCAAATTTATACAACATCAAAAAAGATAGGTGGTAGAGATAGCAACTTCCCGGGCATGACATAAACATTGCAATTCTTGAAAAAATAAAATAGAAGATCAAGCAATTCTAACTTAAATTTTTGGCTTAAATTTGCAACATCAATTACCAGCCATTATTCTAATGCAAGGTAGACTAATGTTCTTGTTCCAAAACCTCAACTTCTAACCAAAAATCCACTACAAATAAAATTAAACAAATTTAGCCCTTACCTGGGCTGTATATGTAAAATTATTTTTTTTTTTTTTTTTTATTTTACCCTAAAGGAGTTAAAAAATAGAAAAAATGCCCCAGAGGAACATTAAAGTATCAAAAGGAATATATCCGGATGTGAGAGAGAGGGAAAAAGTGAACCGGATTACCATCAGTTAATTTAGCTTCTGTAACCTGCAGCCCTGATCGAACTGCACATAAAAAGCACGTCATTTATTAAACCCCACATATCCACGGGAGCTAAAGAAGAAGAATCTCTAAGATGGAATACCAAGTTAAATATCCAAATTAAAAATAAACTATAAAATTACACCTTATTAAAAAAATAAAAATAAAAATCCACTCAAAAAACCCTGGACTGCCTAAGATGGTGGAATGCTACCTTCCCTCCCCTTCCCGTCTGCACTTCCACCCACCAAACCAACAATCTACAAAAGCAATCAAGTTGTTCACATCCATCAGTTCAAAAAACTTACAACAAAACCGTCACTCTCCACCCCCGCTCCCCCACTATATACAAATTCCTATACCTAAAAAAACCTTTAGTTTTGATTATCTGTTTGCAAGTTTAACAGTGTTGTTCTCTCTATAAAGAATAAGGCATGGGTTATGTCCCAAGCCCATGATTCATTCATCATACGAATTCCTGAAGCAGCATCACATGAAAGTTTATTAAATTAAACCTATCCAGTCGGATAAAATCTCCAAGTTGAGTTTTGTCTTTTGAGCATAAGTGGGCCAACAACAAAACAACTCAAATAAACTGGTAAGTTACCCGATCAAGGGCCAAATTACTTCTTTTTTCTTTGCATCTTCTTCACTCTCATACAGACCAGAATCAACCAAAAACTTCCAACATACAAACAAAATTTCAAAATCCAGCACAAATAAATTGAAACGAAGTTTATTACAAAGAAAAATATACACATAAAAAAGAAAATTACTTTCTCCAAATCCCTATTGCGCTGAAAATCGGCCTCACCAATTACCTGCATTTAAAACAATCAAATAAAAACAGAAAATATTTATATTCAATAAAAAGCACCACCCTTTGCAGACTTAGTCATACATCACAAATGAAAAACTAATCATTTCACATAATAAAACCTTAACAATTAATTAAGCTTACCTTCATGAGAATGATGTCTAGAAGCCCTGCCCCGGCTTTTGAATCAGACACCCCAACTGGATGACTGTAATGAATTGACGATTCCATTAAAACTGAAACTTCTAAATAAATAAAAACAAAGTTTAAAAGGAAAGAGAGAGCGAAAGAAAAATTTACCTCAATTGCCATCTCAAGGGCCTAGTACAATTGTTCGCCAAAATCCCAACTCGTCGTGGCTTCGGACAAACGACAGACAGCCCGTCTCCTCACGCGCGCCGAAGGCGTTCTTCCGATGATACAATTGATTCATCCTCAAAAATCCGAAAACTTCCACAGAAAAACGCCTAATCACACAAAAACACAAACTAAATTCTCAATTTCAAAACAATAAAGAACATATGATTCAAAAATTACAAATCCGTTCGTTTGTTCATCTTCAAAAATCCAAAAACTTCCACAGAAAAACGCCTAATCACACAAAAACACAAACGAAATTCTCAATTTCACAACAACAAAAAACATATAATTCAAAAATTACGAATCCGTTTGTTTGCCGAGAAAATCCAAAATTTTCTCGAGAACCAAACGGAAAATCAAGAGATTTGAATCATCTGGTCAACAGATCTATATCCAAACCTTGTAAAACAAAGCTTTCAAGTTTCAACTACTTCATCCACTGATGGAGGAATCGAGAGCTCACCGGCAAGTGCCGGAAGTAGGACGACTGTGACGGCTCTGGCTGTGGTTGTGGTGTGGCATGGAGGAGGTGATAGAGCGGCAGCGTGTGAGATGGAGAGCGATAGTAAGAGCCTGGAAGTTGCCGTTAGTGGTGAGAGATGAGACATTTTGATTATATATTTGAGCAGTTAAATCGTTTGGGTGAGTTTAATCTGAGAGAAGAGACAGAGAATCGCGTATCAAAGAAACGTTTGGGTTGGTATGAACCGTTAATCCACTCATAATTGTTATTAATAAAACACTATTAATATCCGTCATTAACATTAATAATCTAAACCAATTATATGAAGACACTTGTAACAATTCTAGAATCTTACATGGCAATCAAACAGTCTAAACCAATAACAAATATAGCCACGAATAGGATAATCTATCTGTGTCAAAATAAAGAAATTTTAACTCCTCAAAATGGCAATCACATACAAATATATATATATATGCCTTTTTTTGGCCTTTTTACACTATTTAATTCAAATAAATATATTCTTTTCATATAGAAAAAGTACACTCTAGTGGGTATTTCTTTAGAGTGATATTACACTTATAAAAAAATTTTACAAAGTAATGTGACAAAAAATGAATAAAAGAGTGAATTTAATAAGTTTGACTTTTTGTTTCACTCTTCTATTCATTTTTTGTCACCTCATTTTGTATGAAAATCTTTGTAAGTATAGTATTATTAATTTCTTTTAAGAAATGTTATCTAAATGTTATCAATTGTGTTTGTAGAAACCATATTAAATAAGAGCACCAACTTTTTATAAAAGTATTATTATAAACAATATTGTTCATCCTCAGATATTAATTTTCTCCAACTCATTATATATGAATAGTAAGAAATTAATGATTGATAATGAGTTTCAAGTCAAAAGTAATATTTTAGTTTGATCAAATGTGCATAACAAAAGAATGATTAATTTTACGAAATTTAAAGGGTGTGTTTGTTTTGTTATTTTGGATAAGATTTTGGGAATAATATTAGGTAGTTGAATATAGTAAGTACTATGAGATAAAATTTAAAAATTAACAAAAAAAACCTCTTATGTTTACTAATTTAACTAAACACCCTAATATATAAAAATTTTGTAAAACAGCAAAAACACCCTCACCCACCCATAGTGTCAGATTCCGGCCACCACCATCAGAATCTAGCCAAAAAATGGCGTTACGACGCAGACTGGTCAGATCTGGCCGATCGTGCGTCAATATGGCATTTTCCGATCAGATCCACCACGGATCTGGCCGTCGACAACTGCAAAAGTTAAGCCGTCGTTTCCGTCAACGATGGCCAGATCGATGAATTACTGGTCAATTCTGATCGTTTCTATGTCGTTGTGACAGATTCCAACAACCACCGACGGTGGTTGCCGGAATCTGGCAACTATGGGTGGGTGGGGGTGTTTTGTTAATTTTTAAACTTTTTTTCTAGGGGTGTTTAATAAATTAATAAACTTAAGGGGTCTAAAAGTAATTAAAAAAATAGAATAGTATTTCCCAAATAATTAAACAAACAAGTATTTTGGGAATAGGATAGGGAATAGGGTTTGAAATAATAAAACAAACGGACCCAAAGGACTTTCTACTGTACAAGCTTCGCTGATAAACTTTCAGAACTCCGCTTTTCCAAAAAAAAAAAAAAAATTAAATGGGAAAAAATAATAATAATAAAGAAAGAAAGAAAAAATGGAGATAGAAAAATTTAATCCCACTCATTAATCACTAGAATTGTTTTGTAAGTATCAACTTATCACTAGAATTGTATCTTTATTTATAAACTTATGTTTAGTCGATTTATTTTATATATGAATGTCTTGGATATGTTACTTAAGAGGTCTTGAATTCGATTTATCTCAGTTACTAATAGGGGTGATCACTGAAGCTTTTACCTGGTCGATAGTTCTAGGGTCTTAGAGAATTAGTTGAGGCGCATGTAAGTTAGCTAGGACACCTCAGTTATAAAAAAATAATAATAATAAAAGTAAAAGTTTGTCTTTTTAGTATTTGTCGACACTAATAAACAAAAACTTAGTTTTAGAAATTCGAACATCCCCACCTTAAAATATTTTCTTATGTCTGTATATTTTTTGTTTTGGCTAATAGGACATGAACTAACCTACATTCAGGTTTATGGACCCAATAACAAATGGAGAATATCCTCATAGCATGGATTCTCTTGTTGGAAACAAATTGCCAAAATTCTCTAAAGAGGAATCCAAATTGGTTAAAGGATCATTTGATTTTCTCAGTTTAAATTATTATATTGCTCTCTATGCAACCTATGCACCTCAGCTTAACTTTGGAAACAAAAGCTACTCGACTGATCCTCGTGTTAATCAATCAAGGAAGCACAATTAAATTCAAATTTTAAAGCTTAATTAATTTAATTTCTCTAATTAATTAACTCCTTAATTTCTAATTAACGAGACTTTGATTGATTGTTTTTGTGGAACATTCATATTTTGTCAAACTTATGAGTTGTGTGTGCACAACAGTTATGTATGCGCACTGGTATTTGGCTTGTTTCCTTTGTTGTGTGTGTGCACATCAGTTCTGCATGCACACTGGTTGCCAGACTTGTGTCTTGGCTTGGTTCGTTTCATGTATGTGTGCACAACAGTTTGTGCTTACACTCTCGCTTTAGATATTTTCAACTCAGCACGAGTTGCATGTCTGATAAAGTGAAAAAGATATTGTTTATCTTTGTCTATAACTTTTTAAGACCTGTTAAATGTGTCATAGCATCCTTAAGTGGTCCTAGAGAATAAAATTATCTTTCCCAATTTGTTTTGTGGTCCAAACCAAAAGAAGGAATATTTTCCTCATTTGGACAAGCATGGGTAAGCCCCTTGTTGGCCGATTTGGCACATATGTGTTGAGCAAGAAACCTTACACTATATATCTTCTCATCTTGCGTCTTTGATTCTAACCTTTAGATCTTTTATTTCATTGTACTCTGAATTTTCTTAGAGTATTCTTTCTCTTAAGGTTTATAAGTTCATTTCCATTGTGTGCGAAAACCTCACCACATCATTCATTGACTTGATGGCTCTTGGAACATGGTTCCTTTTGCTAATTCTAGTGCGTGGTGTCAGTGCTTGAAGCTTGGTGGTTCACAAGCTATTCTCGGGTGTTTTCCCGATTTGAAGAAGGCCCAAGGAGTTGCTATACGTTAAGGATTTCGAGTATGGTGCTAAGAGTAAAGTTGAACAGGGAGTTCTTTTTACTGTATCTTAGATCAACTTTGAACATTATCTTGTAATGTATTTTTAACTTAGTGGATTGCTTCGATCTAGACAAGGGCCCATAGATGTAGGCTAAAAGTGGATTTTAGCCGAACCATGTATATGGTTGTGTTCTTTATTTTCCACCTTTGTGTTTAATCTGGTTAAATTGGAAATGTAATCAACTTGGTAATACTTCCTCTACACTTAAAATGGGTAACTATACGCTAAAGTGAGTTAACCAACAACTTACTATCCAACAAGTGGTATCAAAGTGTGTCGTGATAAGTTGCTTCAGTTGATCCTTACCTATTTTGGTTGATTTTGTTTGCATATGAGTGGTCTTGTGTTTGGACAAATTATGTTCTGTGTTGCGTTTTATTTTTTAGATCTGTTGCGTGTCTAGGTGTGCACTACCGTTTGCTGTGTTAGCATCTATCTTATTGTTGTTCGTCATGAGTTTCTTTATAGAATGAGGGTATGCTCATAGACCACCCCTGTTAGAAGGACATAACTATTACACATGAAGACTTAGGATGCGTGCTTTTCTTAAGTCTATAGACTTAAGAAAAGCACGCATCCTAAGTCTTCATGGATGATGATGAGACTATAACTGACTTTTGTGATAGAGTTTGTGATATTTCTAACGAATGTTTTGCTTTGAGAAGAATATATATTAATGCTGAACTTGTCAGAAAAGTTCTTTGCTATCTACCTAAGAGGTTTATGTCAAAGGTCACCACCATTGAAAAATATCGAGATGTGGATGCCATGGACATTGATGAACTCATTGGCTCTCTCCAAACCTATGAACTGAATCTGAAACTTTGGGATAAATAGAAACTAAGCAGAGGTTTGGCTCTAAAACATGAGGTTGATTCTGATTCTTTTAATGATTGTGATTTCAACTCATTGGATAATGAGAATTGTGCTTTACTTACAAAGAATTTTGCTAAGTTTCTTAAGAAAAACATGAAAAAGCCTTATGATAGTGGTTGTGGCCGAAAACCTTTTGTGAGAAAGTCTTATGACCATCAAACCTCTGATACCTTTAAAAAGAGATTTTCAACAGATAAAGAAAAAAAAAATAAAGGTATCAAGTGTTTTGAATGTGAGGGCTTTGGGCACATACAATCTGATTGTGCTAACACACTAAAAAATAAGAAAAGTAAGGTCATGGCTACTACTTTGAGTGAGAGTGAGTATGATCAAGGTGATGATATTAAATCGGGTGATAATAAGAATATTCTAGACTTTACCGTGAACCAAGAAAATGGTAAGAGTGAGATTTCGGATGACACTGTTGATATTCATGCTGAGCAACAAGAGGCATATGATAAAATGTATGACCAATGGCTAAACGGTGTGAAAAGTTGCAATCTCTTGGAATTGAGAATGCTACTTTGTTGAAACAAAAGAAAGCTTTATCTAAAAAGATTGTTGTTCTTACTACTGAACTAACTGAGGCTAAGGCCATCATTGATAAGTTGAATGCACGTTCTCTTAAGCATGATGAAATATTTGGTTAAGGAAAATCCTTGATGCTAGAAATCGAAAGCTGGTGCAAGCACGTTTATGAAGGCTACCGAAACTCCTGCTGAAGGTACTGTTGTAAGACAAACTATGAAGGTATCAAAATTCATTCCTATTTGCCATTTTTGTTACAAGAAAGGTCACATCAAACCCAAATGTTTCAGGTTTATTGCTTATTTGAAGAAAGTTTTTAAAAACCATAGTTTTGTTGTTAATATAAATTATAATGCTAACAATGGTTTTTCTTCCAAAAGAATTTGGAAACCTAAGGCTGATGTGAACTGTTTTGTGTCTCATACCTCTTTGCTTGCATTTCAAAATGATATTTGGTATCTGAACAGTGGTTGTTCAAGGCATATAATAGGTAATAAATCTCTCTTGACTGAACTTGAATCGGTTGATAGAGGGCAT